GACTTCTTGTTAAAAACCAATAGTTCAATTGCTTTGATATTACATATATAGATACTACATGTAGACCTTTCTCAGATTTGTTCATTTCGTGATGATATCTTCAGTTCTCTAATTTTGGTGAATATTTTTGTCATTTTTGGTAAAAAGTGATATTTTCGACTTCTTGTTAAAAACCACAAGTTCAATTGCTTTGATATTACATATATAGGTACTACATGTAGACCTCTCTCAGATTTGTTCATTTTGTAATGATATCTTTAATTCTCTAATTTTGGTGAATATTTTAGTCATTTTTGGTAGAAAGTGATATTTTCGACTTCTTGTTAAAAACTGTAAGTCCGATTGCTTTGATACTATACATATTGTTCATTTTCTGATGATATCTTCAGTTCTTTAATTGAAATGTGCATTTCTAACAGCGGAGCTATCTCAGCCGATAGGCTGCTTGTTATTTATGTACAGCCTTGCAAAATCTTGCTAAGCATTCAAAAGAGAGAATGTTTGTACCTGTTTTCTATATTTTAAAATCGTTTTTTTAAGTACCGGTATGTTCCACTATTCACAATTCCACAAAATTTTAATAGTCTATAGCCAAGACTGTTTGGATAATAAAAGGCAAAAAAAAAAAATGTCACTCGCAAGTGCCCACGAACCTGCTTCTTTAACCTAAATGAGGTTGGATAACTGCATGTGCCCACGAACCTGCATCTTTAACCTAAATGAGGTTGGATAACTGCATGTGCCCACGAACCTGCATCTTTAACCTAAATGAGGTTGGATAACTGCATGTGCCCACGAACCTGCATCTTTAACCTAAATGAGGTTGGATAACTGCATGTGCCCACGAACCTGCATCTTTAACCTAAATGAGGTTGGATAACTGCATGTGCCCACGAACCTGCATCTTTAACCTAAATGAGGTTGGATAACTGCATGTGCCCACGAACCTGCATCTTTAACCTAAATGAGGTTGGATAACTACATGTGCCCACGAACCTGCATCTTTAACCTAAATGAGGTTGGATAACTGCATGTGCCCACGAACCTGCATCTTTAACCTAAATGAGGTTGGATAACTGCATGTGCCCACGAACCTGCATCTTTAACCTAAATGAGGTTGGATAACTGCATTAACCAGTAGTTTATTTCAAGTGTTCTAAATTTTTAATATCTGTTTCGTATCTGTTTTTCATAGTGTTCGAAGTGGTAAAATACGTGCATTGTCTTTCAAGATTGCTATAATTGGACTTTGCAAAGCACACTTAGAAGACAAACATAGATGTAAGTACTCTAGTCACCGTGGTGCAATTGTTTGAAAATTGTAACTGGCTACATAGTATTATTATTGCTTGCACCAAATACAATATCTGATTTACTTTGAAAACCAGAAGCTGTATAACACAGTATATCTCAGTGCGAGTAGAGAGTATATCTCAGTGCGAGTAGCGAGTACATCTCAGTGCGAGTAGCGAGTACATCTCAGTGGAGTAGAGAGTACATCTCAGTGTGAGTAAGGAGTACATCTCAGTGCGAGTAGAGAGTACATCTCAGTGCGAGTAGAGAGTACATCTCAGTGCGAGTAGAGAGTACATCTCAGTGAGAGTAGAGAGTACATCTCAGTGCGAGTAGAGAGTACATCTCAGTGAGAGTAGAGAGTACATCTCAGTGCGAGTAGAGAGTACATCTCAGTGCGAGTAGAGAGTACATCTCAGTGTGAGTAAGGAGTACATCTCAGTGCGAGTAGAGAGTACATCTCAGTGTGAGTAAGGAGTACATCTCAGTGCGAGTAGAGAGTACATCTCAGTGCGAGTAGTGAGTACATCTCAGTGCGAGTAGAGAGTACATCTCAGTACGATTAGGGAGTACATCTCAGTGCGAGTAGAGAGTACATCTCAGTGCGAGTAGTGAGTACATCTCAGTGCGAGTAGAGAGTACATCTCAGTACGATTAGGGAGTACATCTCAGTGCGAGTAGTGAGTACATCTCAGTGTGAGTAGAGAGTACACCTCCGTATTAATAAAGGGCATTGTTGTGAAATTAACCACATCTTTTCTAAGATCTTTTTCGACTAGTGGCTGGTGCTAATGGTTATGTAGATCAAAGAGGGCTTGGTTTATTACTTCATGACAGTATTCAGATACCTAAACAACTTGGTGAAGTGGCCTCCTTTGGTGGTAGTAATATTGAACCCAGTGTTAGAAGCTGCTTTCAAATGGTATGATTTATTAATAAATTAAAAATTTCTATTAGAAACACTCACTCAGTCAGATTGCACAATGGCGTTAGAGACGTGTGGATTAACAGAAATAACCAATGGGTCACATGACAAAAATAATATAAAACCAGTTTATCTTTGGCCAAATACAGAGACACATTTAATTGCATTTTTACAGTCACTAACTAAATCTATTCACCACAAAATGGTTGATTTTTTTAAGTCTTTGTGATCATGGACACTGTAAAAAAACTGTAAAATTTGGGGGCCTATGTCTCAAGAATTGAAAGGCACAATTATATTCTAAGAACCAATTTAAAAGATATATACTTGAAATTCAAAAACAAATGACAAGAAATGACATCTCCTGCAAAAGAAAAATTATATTTTTTCACGGTCACAGGGACATCTGTAACTTAATCTTGTAAGCAAGTATTCTAGCTAGGTGATTAGTCCTACTCGCAATTATCTTTTGCTACTTTAATAAAACTCAACTGCATAACTGGGATGATGAGACAACTTGGCAAGTGTGCCCTCAACTAGTGAACTGAAAAAATATTTTTTTTAAACATGAATAGTTCTTCCTCACATATTTTTGTTTGCTCATCATAAATTTGTAGGAGCTCATTCGATGTAAACAAACATCAATACAAAGCCCTCGGATAGTTTAAACAGTGCTTTAACTCTGCACAACATAAGTTGCGTTCACGCACAGCTCCTTAGCACGGGCTAAGAGGTCAAATTCCTTAGGCCGTGCTAAGAAAACGTGCGTGAACGCTTAGCACGGGCTAAGGAATGCTAAGTACGGGTTAAATCTGATCCGAATTTAAGACGCGGTCTAGACCTTAGCACGGGCTAACGAAGTATGCGCGAACGCTTAGCCCAGGGCTAAGCGCCCTCTGCGGCGACCTTTGGGTGTGAAAATTGTCCCATGTTCGTATAACGACACTATTCCACCAGTCATTACTCCGCGCTCACTTCCACACTAATCGGGTCACTGTAGTAGAGCATACAGCAGCTCCAATCGTAGACAAAATAAATTTGGTTCGCTGTCTACGACATGCATTAATAAAACGCTGTATTCTGTTACGCCCGTTGTATACTGTTTATGTGCATCCAAATAAGTGGTCCGTCTTCTCTCGCGTTCCTGTGCACGTCGCTTCAAATTAGAACGAAACATGCCAGCAGCAGAAATAGAACCTCGCGCGTGTCATCCATTTTTCGTTCGTAAATAGCGGCTTACCAAAGGTCACCAACTATGGTAGCCCTTAGCCCGTGCTACGACTGTCCTCCCTGTGCGTGA